AAAAAAAAACAAAAATATCTCTCAGTATATAAGGAAGGCACGAAGGTACGAAAGCACGAAACTCTTTCGTACGCATCGATATCGGCGTATTCTCGACATAACTTTAAGTCAGTCGGTAAAGCCTTACCCCGAATTAGAGGCGAAACTCTCCTCGGTCCTCGTGGATCTCGTGTTGGATGAACTGTTGAGGCTACCGTTGTCAATGTAGAGTATGGGGACGACATCGAGAATTCGTGCCGCCAAGCCCACAGCACTAAAAGACCGTACGTATGCAATTTAGTGTTAGCGCGTATCATTTCAAGCACATCTGCATATTGAAAGTTACAGGGTTCGCGAATTAAAATTAAAAGAAAAAAGAGCACGAGAAAGTCGTGGATAATGAGAGCCGCGTAGAGCGATTGTAACAGTTTTGCATTTATACGGATAAACATCACTTGCGCACAATAAATATTTATTAGCTTTGAAAAAGGAAATACTCGGCTAAGTATTTCATTGCAATGAAATTGTATTGATATGTGTATTAACAAGAGTTGCAATTTAAACATATAACCGGATTAATTAGGCCTTTATTTGTAAGAGGCACGATTCAAAAGTAACTGTAATTCACTTTCATGGATATAAGGCCATTAATAGGAGTTATAATTTTTCTCATTCGTGAATTAAAGGTGAATACTTAAGAAAGCGAATAATTAACGAAATGAGAAATATCTGCGATTTAAGAGAAAGATATTAAAATAAATGAAATATCAATGACGATACAAGGAAGTTGTGAGGAGATAAATTAAGCTACAGAAGCGACATTTACAGTTTAATCTTGAAATGTAGGAGCAAAAGTGTTACTTTCACTCCGTACCGCTCTTAAAACGAAATGTCGAATATATACAAATATTGAAAAATATGCATACAACTTGTCAACACATCGCAACACAATGTGAACATTTATTGTTCATATTATCATCTATTTAAATCCATCTCGTCAAAAAGCTAATTTACGTATTAGTAAACTTATTATTATTTCAGTTTTACTTATAAAAGATTGCAAAATACACGATTACAGCATTCGTTAAAATAATAAAAACATCGCCTACGTTTGGAAACGACAATTACTTACAAAGAACAGATGCGAATAAGCTTATATCAACAAATAAATAATAATGCTGTTAATTAATACAATTGTTAATTATTCTTAAAAGCATTCGTTAGTTCGATGAATTTAAACTGACAATTCAAGCACTACATTACCAAAAATCTCAGTATTCGTAAAATTAATTTGGATAATTCGATCCATTGATAAAAAACGCACGGTCGATTTTTCGAACAAAAGTTCTTTGAATATAAAATTATATTGCTTCGTTGTTCTTTTAGAGACTGCTTATCAGCATGCTTTATCAATAAACAATTAAATAACTACCTATCATCGCTTGAATAAATTACGTGTTTTTAGAATCTACGAAATTCTTGTAACGAATACTGTTTGCACGTTTAAATTTATATATCGTTATTCTTAATGATTAAATAAAAAAAATTCTTATTACTCTCAAAATATAATATGTTATTTTTATAATTAAAAAATAAATCATACTTTAGTTGAACTTCCATTAATGTTGATGGTATTGATAAAGTTTCATCGTCGTGTACGGGATTTAATTCATTGTTAACGATGGAGTCATTTATTGGATTCGCTATTTCGGTAAACGATGTTATTTCAGTGTCTTCGGCTAATGTATTATAAAATCATTTTAATTTAGCTATAAAAAATAATTTAGTCTTTATCGACTAGTCGTTTTATAAAATTTATGCATTTTAAATGAAGGTAATCGACAAAGGGGATTTAATGTTTTGCATATACTGAACGTCACTTTTTAATATTTTACAGCTAATTTAATGACTTTGAGTGTGGCTCAAATAAATTTTACAAACCATATAAATTGTATAACTGATTAAACTTGTAACTAATGAATTATACGTAATTATTATAATAATTAAATATTTAACGAAAAAATATACTTTATTTTAACATCTAAGTTTTCTTGGAAATGATGTATTGATTTTATTAACAATTTACCTTACAATTTTTATGAATTTCTTAAAGAACATATTTTTAACATTAATTCTATAAACTTTATTAATTATGATGATGTAATTAAAAATCTTTTCATTGAAATTGGATGAAAGCTAAGGTATAAATTGAGGTTCAGTTAAAAAATTTCTTTTACATCGCACAAAGGAAATTATAAAATTTAAGGAAAAATTACTTACTGCACAATTCTTTAAGGCATTAATATATGTCTGCGTAATATCCAAATTTACGTTCATAATGCATAAATTTTACGAAATATTATATTGACTTGATATGTAAATATCTACAGCAATTATGTATTTAAACTGCAAAACTTACATGATTTGGTATTTCTACTTCCTATGGCTGTCGACAAATCTATTTTTCGCAATAAAGCAGCCATAAATGCCTTCGCTTTGTAAATTATTTTCTGCATCAATCTTATTTAATTACAATAATTTATCAGCAATTAAATTGTAAAATGAAATAATGTACTCAAAGGAGAATAAAAAAAAAAGCACCGCGAACATTAAAACTCACGGATACCTAACTAATAGGTCACCAATATTTAATATACACACATACATGCAACAATATACAATATATTGTTGTAAATATATTGTTAACTAAATGCAATGACTCTTTACTTGATCTTTAAGAATTGCAATAAACGGCAAATAATAGCATCAATAATTTAAAGGATACAATAAAAGAGCAAAATCAATAAAGAAAAATTAACAAAGTCCAATGAAATGCAAAAAATAATCAACTTATTGAGTTTGGCATTAATTAAAATAGATTTCAGTACTCAAATGCAAAATTGTACCAGACTATGTTATCATTAATCTTCCTTTTAATATGGATCGGCATAATATAGCAGCACTACAATGTATCATTAACCGGAAAGTAGAAATTCGAAATCTCGTAAAAGGCATCGATTGTGGGTTAAAAGATTAAAAGACATTTGCAAATGATGAGCCAATCGATGCGATACATATCTAATAACTCGAAATTCCGTACGCTACAACCATCAAAAGGCTAGCGGCATTTAGAAAATAAATTATTGCATTATTGTAGAAATTAATAGCCGAGCATTCGGGAGAAATTATATGTAAAGTATATCGGGAAAAAAGTTAAGATCGCGTAGCTCGTCGAATTCAAAATTAGGTTAGAGCTCATAGTATTTTTAGTATTTTTCTCATTCATATTTATGGATTAAACACGTTGGAATTTGATTTTAATCATGGGTATGATTTTTATTTTCTTTTTTCTTTTTTAGCTCTCTTCGTCGTTTCTGTATTTTCGAACAAGGTGAATATTTTCAGTTTATTGCCTACAATTGCTTTGTTTCAAATGCTTTTTCTCCGGAATGATCGTCACGCATAAGTAATTTTTTTTTTTTTTTTATTATGTCAATACTATTGTCATGGCAAATTATTCATTGGAAGACTAAAGTAATCTATTTATAGAATATATATTCTTTTGAACTAGATATCACGAAACACAAATGTCTGATGTTTTACACATCGATATATATATATATATATATATATATATATATATATTGTTACTAAATAGTAAATAATAAATAAATACAATCTAAAATTTGTCAGTTTCATTTTTACTTTATTACCTATTATTCGATTATTTACTTCATTATTGAATCATTACTATTATTGTTTGAAATTACTTCTACCATTAAATTATATTACGATCTCGAACTGAAGATGTGTTTATTTTTTTAATTACTAATGTAAGTCTTAAATGCTATATGCGAACTATATAATAACTCAATCATTATGAAACTAAAATACCAACATTTATATATTTATACAACTATTTGCGGTAATAAAAAAAATCAATCTATCTCTTAATTCAATAAATATGATTCAATTTATTTTAATAATTATACAATTGACAATGTTTGTAATAGTTAAACCAATGAAAGTACCTGTAACGTAGGATGGCGTTGAACCGACAGTCGAAAAGGAAGATGTCCCGGGATCAAAAGGATTCGAGATAAAATTCTCTTCATTAACGCTATACGTTAGATTGGATTTATTTTCTTGAATCTCAGGATGAGATTCGCTCGTTTCATTATTTTGGTTGATTAATTCTGTCTCTATATAAGCAAAATAATTAACTTAAAAATCATCAATGATATGGAATGTAGAAAGTTGCTGATACTCTTGTGTCAACCATTCAAATGACTCGGAAAATAATTATTTCGCAACGTATTTAAATAGCGCATAATAAACGAAGTTTATTACTTTACGTATAAGAATAGATTATTCAAAAAAATTTTTTTTCAATTTTCCCATTTATTCGGAAACCACCCAATCGCCGACATTTTCCCAATAAAAGTACATGATATATTCATCCGAAAATATTTATCTAAAAAATTGAATTACTTTTATGCATTACTTTAATCGAAATCGTTAAAATTATTAATTTTCATAAATTTATTTGTATTGGGATTGGGGTGGGGATAGGAGTGTGGCGAGAGCGATGGTATAATTTGCAAACTAAACTCAATTGACAAGCTGAGTGAGAATCATTTATCAATCACAGTTAAAATGAGAAGCGAATCGCTCCGCCCCTGGTCTCTTCAAACTTTATATTTTCAAGCTCAAGCATGGCATGGTCTAAGCCAAATTATTAATAACAACGCGCATATTGGCTACAACCTTTCGAAAACCGAATTGACACGGAGCGAAAAATTTTCGCCCTCCCCCCCTCCCCTTATCGCCAGCTCGTGCGAAAGCTATACGAAAAGGATGAAAGGCAATAATAGGACATTCATTACCGTGGGCTTGCTGGGGTAGTTCGTTGGTAATACTGACGGGTTCATTTAGATTATTACTCCCCGACATCAAGTTGTTCATCGTCAATGTCTCCATCTCCTTCGCCCCGCTTGCGCGTCTCCATTTCATCATCGACTTAAAGCGGACACCACCCGACATCAGTCGCGATCTAATCTGTTTACACATTTAGTGCTAGTTGCGTGTTAGAGATTAGAGGGGAGGGGAACACAGAGGGTGTGAACGAGATTGCGATGGGTGAGAGACAGTTCTGTGACTACTTTGCTACCGTTATTGATCTGCGACTATTGTCGGCTACATTGTGCGGCAATTGGTTCACGGCGTGGCAAAGAAGTTCGGAATAAGGTGCGACCGTTTGCTCGCCCGCTCCTTACTATGAACATTGTGTGCTTTTATCGCTCTTTGAAAATTGGTTAGGAAATATTTCCGACTAAACTCACTTTTCGTTCGTGTGAGTTTTCACGTTTAATGCCACTTCATTTAAGAGAATACACAGAGTCCGAACGTATTGCATTGGATTTTTAATGATAATGGTGACGATGAAGAATAATAAGAATGACTATGGCGATAACAATGGGCATATGAAGGAGAATAAATGGGGGCACGATATGAAACTTCTAAAAAATGTACATAGGTAAATAAGATTATAAAAATGTGTTATATATATATATATATATATATATATATATTTCTTATTTAATGTTATAATTTTGCGCAAATTAATCCGTTCGTTGGAACTACCAATAATAAAGCCAGCGAACAATTGTTTTGCATCAATTACTGGCAAAAGAGCTTCGAAGCCCTTCTTCATCTTACGATTTGAGAACCGATGAGCAATGATGACGTCACGTTTAAGAAATGGCATTTCTTTAATTGCACGGCCTCTTATCTTGATACTTTAATATTATATGATCGTTTAAAATGACCTGCTGCATTGGTACAATATAACTACAAAAATGCTTTTAATGATCAATATATTTTTAATTTAAATGAAATAGCAAAATTTGAGCCGAACGAATGAACAATCAGAGAAAAATGTGAGTGATAATATTGTTTTTCAATAATATATCTTCATCGCAAGTACGAACTCTTCAAATTGAATTTCATTTACAAATGAAAGTTTTACAAATCACCAGCGAAACGAGCATTAACATTACCGAAGGGATGGGATGGGGCACGTTCCAGACAGAAATTTATGTAAGAAAATGAATTTTAACACTTTTATAAATATGCAATAAAAGCGAATTTCTCCAAACTTTATTACAACATGAGACTGCATAAATTTGTAATTGTATTTTATGTTAACGCGTGAAAAGTAAAATAAGATCCAATAAGCGACTTTCAAAATACTTATTTTAATTATACCAAGGAGGAGGTATCCTCGTATACTATCAAAAGTTGAAAAAGTTACACAATCAATCTTAAATTTATTATAGCGTACGCAAGACCCCACTAAAATCGATACTTCGAGCTTTTCGTTAATCAGTTCGAACACCATTAACGTTATTTAAATTACACGCAAGGGTACTAGATTCTTAAATACACGATCATTGCACAATAATATTCCATCTTCCAACACCACCCCCCCTCTCTCTCTCTCTCTCTCTCTCTCTCTTTCTCTTTTGCCATTAATTGATTATTGATTAACCGGGAGAACGAGAATGACAAGATTTAATGAAAAAACGCTTGACAAAGGGTGAAAGCGAGATGTAGAGGTTAGAATTCGAGCCCGTCGGTTTACCCTATTGCGAAAGTTGAAGAAGGTGCTCATCCTGGAGGTTCTGGGGGAGCTCCCCTCGGGGGACAAAGTCGCTTCCTCGCTCATAGCGCCGGATTCGTCCGGGGCGAGTACTCGCGCATCCTTGGGCTCACACGGAGACTCGCCGATATTTCGATAGTCGACCGGCGTAACGATGCTCTACGGATGGCTGCCAGTTTCTCTGACGACGCGCTTTTGTTATATCGAGGATACTTTTTATCTAGGCTCTTTTGTTTCTATATATTTTATTATTTTTTTATCATTTACTTTCGTCATTCGTCCACGCGCTCGTTCATTAATCCTTTCGGTCCTCCTTCCTTCCTCCCTTCCTTCCTCCCTTCCTTCCTCCCATCCTTCCAACTTTCCTACCTCACATCCTTCGTCTTTTTCGTCCCTCGCTGACCCCGCTCTTACTTTCTAGTTTCAAATGTATACTCGTTGGGGAATACTTATTTTTTCACCCAAATCTTTGTTTACATTGCAAAAGGTGCGACTCGTATGCTAATGAGATAACCAACATTTTGAGCGCCTACTTTTCCGAAACCGGAACCAATTTTTAAATATATTCGATTTAGATTTGATAAAGGTCACAGAAGCTTGAAATCTATCCCAATGAAATTCTCAATCCCCAAATAAACAGTATTTTTCATTAAATATATATACATAATTTGCTTGCATAGTTGCACATTTCTATAAATTCTCATTTCCAGTACTATTTCAACCTTTCTGTTATCAACATTTCCATTGCACTTTTTATTCTCTCCTGAATTTCAACACGCAATGATACTGTATCTTAAATTTCTGCGAAACTTTTAGATAATTTGTTACTACCTAATTCTTTACCTATACTCTACAAGTATCTGTAAGTTTTTATGTTTAATAATAAAATTTTATTACACTGAATTTTGCACCTTAACATGAAATTCTATACAATTGGAGTTGTGACATAAAATTATAGATGTTATTATGAGTGCTGTGCTAAAACCAAGTTACTTTATTACTCATATTAAATATTTTTATAATACCAATTAATAGTTCATTTCAGAACACTTACAATGGCCTTAAATTTCGTCATTGTCAGCAAAACTGAGAAAAACATTATAATTATTACTTCGTTAAAAAATTTTTAAAATCATTGTTTTTATTAAATAAAAGTAACGGGCTATTTTATAATACAATATATATATATATATATATATATATATATATATATATATATATATATATATATAATATGGTTCATCTTAATTTCGAAAAATTGCATATGCCAACATTATTGTTCAGAATTTTACCCGAACAATAGGTCCATAATAATACTGTTTAATATATAATATATAATCTATAATCTATTATATATATATATGTTTTTTATTTAGAAAACCTATTGTTGAGTTTTTAATTTTAAACGGTCAGATTTAAAATGTCATAAAATTCCAAGCACATTTAAACTGCTACTTTGACGTGTGAAGTAATTTTTGGCCTTTACCAATCCACCCGATGGCAGCCATATGTTTACAAACGCGGATGAATACCTGGAAATTTCTTCGGAAAGTTGACAATCGTTTGAATTTAATATTTACGTCTATCCCTTATGAGAAACCATAAGGAGAACAAAAAACAAAACAAAAAAAAAAATAATGACCGCCTTAACAGGGAACGTATTGATTGCCATCTCAAAAGTAATAAGCTAATGAAAATTGTATCAAAACTATAATAAATAAAATTTTTTAAATAAATATAAATTAGAGAGATATATGTGTACGAGGGCAACACTCGTTTATAAATCTGTGCAACACAAAGTGAATGACCATTTTCCAAGAAATACACATCTATCGATCATGCCAATGTGCGAGAAATGCCATAAAAAGTATTATTGCAAAGCAGGTAAATCTACGAACGCAGGTAAAAATGAATAGCTTTTAAGAATGATGTACGAAACAATGTTGGAAAGATTGAAAAGAAGCAGCGAATGCAAGACACCTACCATCATCATCATGAATTATCGAAGCGAATCAAACGCAGAAGAAAATAGATCCTTCACTAAGACGATCTTCTTTTATTAAACGTTTGAACATTGAAATCGACCTTGCCCCAGCTTACCATAAGTTGCCCTCGTTTAAGCTAGTGCACGCGCATAATAATGTTTTTATAATCCATACTCGTATTTTGTTATAACCGAACTTCATAGTACGCATGCTTCGATACATGACTCGCGCCGATTATATTACGGGGATCAAGTTAGCGCTAAGTACTCCTAGATAAGATCTAAATTAATCATTCGATCAAATAATCAAATGAGCCGGGGCATTAATAAATGAATTTTTAACGCGTGCGACACTTGGACGTTGCGACTTTCGGCTCATTGATTAATTTACGTGGATAAGCTGCACAAATTATAAATCGCATCGTTCCTAGTAGCTATTTTGCTGGAATAAGCGATAAAAATTAACGGTTGGAGAATGTAAAAAACGTGGAGCATAGACATATATATATATATATATATATGTAATTATTTGCAGCTGTTATCTGTTATCGCTTGCACGATGAAGCCTTGCTTGCTTCGTCATTTTAATTTGTGTAAGAATCGAAATATACGAGCGCCGCTACGCTCTTTGTTCTAAGTAAAAAATTTAAATAACCGCCGCCGCCGCCGCCGCCGCCGCCGCCAGCGGAAACATATGCCAATACGTTATTGTTATAATAAAAAATTGATATTCTATGCATATGGGACAAGAATATGTAAAACGACATTTCCACTAGTAGAATTCGATCGGAAAGTTTCGATGAATTTAAGTTTTAAACCGACCGGCAATACGGACACGTTTATCGTATTATTTTCTCGATTCGTTTGAGCATTCGATTGCCACTTTATTTAAGCACATTTGGAATTATATAAAAAAAATCACAAAAATAACTTGAAAATAATAAATTCTATTTCTATTTTACGAGTGGACAATTGAACGATATATTTTAATTGGCTAAACGCCATATATAAAGCGCAAATGCTTCAACAAGCGTATAACGGTAGTATTAGTTGAAAACAATTATTTCCGATTTCAATTAGCCCAAGTTTTAACGGAACATAAGTATGTGACTATAGAATCTCATTTTTATTTCGTAATCGCGATATCGCGATATCGCCAATTGTCTCACTCGGTACTTTAAAATGTCATCAGTTCGCAAAAATACGGGAATAGGGAGTAAATATTTAATTATAAAACTCAAAACATCATTAATATGTAAAATAATATATTGCCACTTTGTTGGGCCTTATTCTCTCTTAACCTCGTCAAAGCCTCGATAAAACATCCTCGAATAATTATTTATGACACTAGCCCTTACGCAACGTCAGACGCTAACATTTAACGCTAACAATGCACTTTTCCTACTTTTACATCTCACACACACGCGCGCCCTTGTCATTGTACGTTATTTTTAAACGATTCAGTGAACCACGAGCGAGCATCAATCACCGACCCTCGGCTTAAAAAATACAATCAACGTGTACACCTTCCGACACTCCCACCTACTTCCATTTATGTATGTAGTAACCTAAAAATGGAAAATCTCCTCCGCCGCCGTTGCCTTCACGGAACAATCATTAAACGTTCTCGGCTCATTCGTACGAAAAAAAAAAAAAAAAAAAAAACGCAAAGAAAAGGGAAAAAACGAGAAAAAAAAACAAACAACAATACTAAATAAAATACAATAAGAAGAAAAAAAGCAGATAAATAAGGGTATGAGAGCGAGCGAGTAGGGCCGACGAGGCTGTGTCGCGCAACGAGTCTGACTCCTGCACGCACGGGTCAACCAGTCCGGCGCGAATTATCAAGAAAATCAATCGACATGATTCCGTGGCACGAATCGCCGGCCTTGTGCCTTGGTGCGGAAGTCAGTCGGTCGCCTTAATACGACGAGCGATCGGCGGTGCCCTCGAGGCTCGACCCTGTGACGAGGAGGGGCAGCCTGACTGCGAGCAGGGGTTGGCCCCGAGTGATGCGCGAGTAGTCGGCTCGAAGAGCTGGTGTACACGAGGCTCGGGGCTCATCGTCGGCCGCTCCTCCTCGGCAAAATCAATAAAACGAGCGCCGCAGGGACGACGGTGCCGAGTGCTTCTAGGCACTGCTGCCCCTCTCCCTCGGCGGTCAAACGTCATTGGCGTGTCAAGACATTGGCGTCTGCTGGGACTCACCGGATATGCGTAAGGCTGGCAGGGCACGTAGAATTCTCGGCTCATAATAGCGAGGCTCTATGGGGTTTGGGGGCCGAGATCGCCCCAGCCGACGGGGCCGCTGATCTCGCTGTTACTACGTTGGCTGTAGCTGTAGCTGTAGCTGTAGCTGTTGCTGTTGCTGTTGCTATTGCTGTTGCTGTTGCTGTTGCTGTTGCTGTTGCTGTTGCTGTTGCTACTCCCGGGTATATGTCAGAGACCCAGTGGCGCCATCTCCCAGACGACATTGCCGCGCGCTCTTTGCTCGTTCCTTGGTCACGAGGTAGGACGGGCTCCTGGAATTCGAGCCGACGGCAATGACGGCAAAGACGACGACGACGACGTTGGCAATGGTCGTGGCAGTGGTGTTGACGACGAAGACGTCGACGAGGTCGATGAGGATGACGACGGCGATGATGACGATGACGACGACGACGGCGACGACGATGACAGCGACGATGACGACGACGACGACGAGGATGACGACGACGACGACGACGACGACGACGACGACGACGAGGATGACGACTACGATGACGAGGAGGATGACGACGACGATGAGGACGACGAGGAGTCGAGGCTCGCTAGGCATTACCCTTAAGAGCTGCCTCACGTCTAACAGGACGATGACGACAACGACGACGACAATGACAACGTTTGCGACGGTGACGGGGGCGGCAACGGCCTCGGGCCCATCCTCGGAGCCGCTTCCTCGCGCACTTTTCCACCTCCGAGGCCTGCCTCCAGGACCCGCTCCCACCTCGCTCTCGTTATCACGTCAGAGCGGGCAGCACGCTCAGCGGACACCAGCCCTACTCGGGAGGATGTCAGGCCATCGCCCGGCCAAGGGCCACACCACCACGATGCACGTAGTACACAAGCCAATAATATCTATGTACGCGCACGCGTGTATGCATATATATATCACTGAGGCGCTCGCGCGCGCCAACGCATTATGAGGCCGTGAGGAGGGAGGGGACACCTCCTCTGGCACCGATCTCCAACACTTGCACGTCCTTCTCCACTCGCGCGCTTCTCAACCGCGAAACTTACGAACCGCCGTTGAGTGTGGAACTGTCGGACTTTCGAGCCTTCGAGGCTCGCTGTCTCGACGTCGCGGCGGCTCCGTTATCGTCTCTACTGCGCACCCCCCCCCCTCCTCATACCCACCGCCCCAAACGCCAGCACCGCCACGGCCGTCACCACCACCACCACTTCCACCGTCACCATCATCACCGCTACCTCATCGTCTCACTCGCACTCGCATGCTACGCCAATATACCGTCGACCCCTTTTGAAGACGCGGCGGCGGTACTGGCGTTAAGCAGTTCGTGGGGGTGGACAGTTTGTGGCAGCGCCATCGTGCGGTGATCCGGGCGAACCTGATACGACCGGTATGCTGGTGCTGCAGATTCGCGTAGATAAGGAGGGACAGCTGGTAGCGACGAGGATTTGCATTGTTTGAGATTCGCGGGACGACGACGACGACGACGACGACGCCGACGACGACGACGACGACGACAACGACAACGACGGCATACGAAAGCTGTGGGACGCTTTCCAAAAGCAATTTATTATTGCGACTGGCCCGTGTCCTTTGCAGAGCGACGACTGACTGATGGTAATTACGGCAGATATGATAATTGTAAAAATATCGTTTATAAATTTATATGAAGGCAGACGCTACGTGGATGAAGGTTGATTGCCAAGTCGTTTGCAGTTTCGCGATCGCCACGCAACTTTATCTAACGTTATGAAAATTAAAGCGAACGATAAAACGAGGATGAGTTATATACGCTTTTAATGGCCCTGCTTAATGCCTCCGTTATTTCTTACTGACTCGAGCGTACCTAGAAACTCGGTTCAATTTGCTGGATATGTTATTAGTGTTAAAGCCTCATGATGCACGCAATATTTTATAAAAATTGGAAAAAGAGCTAGAGTTTTTCATAAAGAGGCGGCATATAATGAGCAGCTACGATCTAGCCTGTGAAATTTAAGCGAAAAAAGCTAGTCGGCTTGAAGTAAAATTTGCGGAGCGTTACAAAACATGAATTATCCTACTTATCTGCGATTAAGATAGAAATTTCCAGCAGTTTGTTGATTGTCCATAGATCATCGACCCCCTTTATATTGCTTCCGATTATTAAATTAATAATAATAACAACAAGAACAACAACAACAACAATAACAACAACGATAAATAGAAAAAAAGAAAGAAAGAAAGAAAGAAAGAAAGAAAGAAAATGAGAAAATGATCTATATCTCATACTTGTATGAGTTCATAGATTGATAGATCGATTGATAGACGATAGATAAATAGATAGATAAATATCTTATTAAATATAACTACTTTTTTTCGTTCAATCTTTGTTGTTTTAATAATGCTTTATTAAAAATAGATATGCATTTCATTTATTGCTTCAGCATATTTCATCCCTATTATAATCAACAAAAATTATTATTTATTACATTAATTAGGTCGTAAATTTTAATGAATAATTGTGAAATGACATTTGCGTAAATGAAAGTTAAATCAATAAAAATACAATCGATTACAAAATTTATCTTTTGTTTAATATCGATTAACCTTCGCTAACATTATTATTAAATTTATTATGCATAAATGGATGACATTATACATGTCATTAATTAACTAAATTTGAGTGTATCGTCAGTAATTATCAATATATATGAAATAAATATCATTCCGTCTTGTGGTGAGTATAAAATTCATATAGAAATCAATTATTAATAAAACATTTGATAATTAAACATTAGAACAAATTTGCCATTAAAATATTTAATAAAATTATATTTATCAATTGTAAATCAGCCTTAGATTGCTAAATGATAAATAAATAATATGCTATTAAATTTATCACATCCCTCATTAAAAATGAAGCATTTACTTTAAAAGTATGATGACTCAATAATCACAAATAATTACTACAAATTCCTGATAAATCTAAATCAATATTATAATGTGAAAATACGATGAATCGTGTTAGGAAAATTCGTTACAATAAACATTAACTTCATCTACAAGATGAAAAGTATAGATATAACATTTTTCAAAATTTCCTTTCACTTTTTAAAGTAAAATTTTGTTTTTTAATCCAAATTTAATTTAAGGCTAATATAAAAATTACATTATACCTGTCATATAATAGAATATAAAATCCTTTATAATGTCCCTCGTATTCGATGTTATAAATTAATGATTTTATTTTTTTTATTAACGCACAAATAATATAATATACTTTTTTTTATTATATTTTCATTATATTTAGCATTTATTCAACTATACAATGTGCGCGCGCGCGCGCGTGCCCGTGCTTGCTCGCGTGCGTATAAATACTAATTTTATTGAGTATATCATGTAAATATACTTTTATCAAGTGCAAATAGTTGAAATGATAATACAAAAACATGTAAAGAAGTTTAACGGTAAAACTCTCAAATAAAATGATGTTTATAAACATAATTTAGGAACAATGTATTTTTGATGTTGAAAGCTATTTTGCAAATATTTTAAAAATACATGTAATTGAAAAATTAAATTAAATTTATAAAAATAATTAGGATGTTGAAACACAATGAAATTTTATCTTTTTACGATAATTGTTCAATGGTATAAACAATCATGAAAACATTTCATTTATTTGTTAATTATATAGCGGTAGTTTAGTAATAAGTGTAACTTTCATATCTAACTTAGTCATGAGAATATACCGATACCATAATAAACTAACATTGTACAATGAACATGATTCATCTACATTGTAAAAGTCAACCACCTAATCGAAAGTCATTATCGTCATTGACGTCATTCATTATACTGTGATTAATACACCCTTATTTGAGGCGTATATATAAAATGATACATCATTGTTCATAAATGTGGCTAATGAAGACTTCATTTTCAGATATTCTCGAGCTTCTCCTATTGTATGCTAATATAATTTACAGGTATTCTTAATTTGTAATTATATAAACTTATATTGCTAATATAATCGAAAGAATTTCAACACCAAAAACGTAATGTAAAGTTATAAAATAAAGATGTTATTTTATTGTTCTATTCGAAAATTAAAAGGCAAAGAATTCTTATAATTATTTTATTAGATAAAAAATTTTATATTAGATATAAATTATATTTAGAAGTCTTTTAACAAATTCTGCAAGGAATTTTATTAGAAACTAAATTCAGCTATTATAAGTTACAAACAATAGCTATAATAATTTTCAAATATAATTCATCATATCTTCTAAAGTATTTTCCTAATTATTCTCTTAAATATTGCTTTATATTAATTTGTATTATAAAAGCCTCGGTCATAATTTCTAGTTCGAATTTGCAATAACGTGCACGAGCGAAAAAGAAAGTCCATTATAACGAATGTGTTTATGTCATAAAATCATAAAGTAATACAATCGAATCTTTTCATCGGTAAACTGCAAACCATTTGTATCCGGAAAAAGCCGGAAAAAATGCCATAACTACATTGCTATAATTACAGTCCATCCTATCAGAATTTTGTCATCGGCTTTACTGCAATTGTAATTGTTACGTTATCAAAAAAATACGATACAGAGACTCATAAAATTGTAATGCATCGCAGACTACTTGTGTTTTATAGAGAGCGCGAACTTTCTAACCGATAAACTAAATTCATTTCCATGAATGTATCTTAGAATCGAATAGCCACTCAAATCTTTTTGCAATGGTTATAATATATAATCAACCATTTACTAACTTACATTTATTATGCTTGCTTTTTTCTGCAAAGTATTTCTACAAGAATGTAGAATAATATTACCATTATTATAAAAATTAATAATAATAAAAAAAAAAAAAAAAAAAAAAAAAAAAATGACAATCACAAAACATTTCGTTATAATCATTCAATAAATTATGTAGATATGCAGAAGGAATTAAGAATTGCTATTCCGTATAGGAAATGCAAATGCATGTAATCATTATTAGTAATATTTATTTCTAATTTGCTTTTACATTATATATTATGTATATATATATCGAATCGGGATAAATCCGTGTAAAATTTTCAATGGGCAAATCTATAGGGAAACTTTAGTATTTTTCCTAGTCTCGAAATAAATCAATATCACTTATATTACTACTGTACGTACGACATTGCTACGAATTAATTGTATAAAAAAAAAAAAACAAAAAAAAAATATATATATATATATAAATTGAATTTTTAAGCAATTTTTATTGTTGATTTTTTTTTTTTTTTTTTTTTTTTTACATTAGTAAAATACTGTAAATAACATAAGGTATAAATTTTACGATGCTTGCGCATATTTCATTATTCAACGAAAGTATTAAAATAAAGCTTACAAAAATAAAAATTTAAAATCTCAAAGCTAAATTGTCATATTTAAAACTTGTACAGAATATAAAATCAATGTAATAAGGATTGGATTATTTTATAAAAGATCAATAGTTTCGGGGCTCGTGTTGTAAAATGTGTGAATATTGGCAGGTGTATTGCACAGTCTTGCAGTCACGTCACTATGGCAAAATGATGAAAATTTGTCATCTTTGAAATCGCTTGTTAGCTCATTCAGTCTCAGGAATGGGTCTTCCATGTAATTATTATTCATATTGAAATGTGAAAATGAATTGTTGATATCGACCGATGACAATGGTTGCTTTAAAAACAAATAGCTATCGTCTAGTGACATTAATTTATAGGCGTTGTTGGAACTTTCGGTCTCCTGGACCTTTCTTTCGCACACCTCCTCCTGCTCGTAAGTTAACGGTAGCTCGTAATTCATATGTACCTCATTCGGGTTAGTGGAAATGTCGAATAGCCGATGATCATTCATCTCATCGCTTTGTATTGGAAATTCAACGTTTTCAAACTCTTGACTATTTGACTGTATTTTATTGTTCAAGTCATCGATTCTTGTTAGACAATTTTCCTCACTGGGTAGATTTTCCATTCTTATCAAGAAAATAAAATTTCGTAAGAATAATTTATTTGTACAGATAGTAGAGAAAATAGAGTTTTATATCTTTTTCGAATATAAAAATAAAAAAAAAATAAATAAATAAAAAAACAAACAATGATATTATTTTAACGAATCATTAATATGGTATGATACTTAAAATTAACATATATAGATTATTTAAAACTTTAATATAGTCATATTTATTAAAGTATCGGAATTATTGTTATTCTATTGTTCAAAAATTCTATTCTAATTATTATTCTAATTAGATAAAATCACAGATGCATGTATTTTCACGTTAAAAGTGCATTTGATAATAGGCGGATGGATGATACCTTACGATTTAAAAGTTTAAACTTGCATATCTATAAAAAAAAAACATTAAGTTTCAATTATAAATTTTATTAATAATTACTTAATAAAGGTAATCAATCGTTTTACCATCTTTTGGAGAGACAAACGTAAATTTAACGATGAAACAGATAAGAAAGAAATAAAATTTCATACGAAAAATTCGAATATTTTCAATAATTGATAAACACATCCTATGATATATAAAGAACTTGAAACTAGCAAATAGTCATAATATTATTATCCTAAATCATGTCGTAATAATTTCTTAAATCGTTATAACTATTTATTTATTTATTTATTTATTTTTTTTTTTTAAACATAAATATCATTTAATGGTAAGTACCGAACTTCTCGAAAAAAAAAAACAATATTTATCAATAATGCAAAAAATGTAAAACAATATATATATATATATATATATATATTTTAGCCCTAACTCATAATATCTTTAATTAATATTCTATATGCACACATACAATATCTAAAGGAAATGCACTTTGTATTTTTATTATTACAATTCAAGACCATTATGTATCTGCTGACCTACCATTAGTATGGTAGATATCTAACTTATCAACAGGTTGTATAACTTTCGATAGATAATCTTCAACATAATAAAAGTACAATATTTAAGTAAATAGTGTAATCATTTTAATAATTATTCAACTATTTTAAACGTAATGTCCTCAAAATAATAATTATTGAAAATTTTATTCAATTAATGCGTAATGCATCGTAATTAGAGAAACATCAATATTATAAATGTGGACAATTTTATTTTGCACTTTTCATAATGGAGAAATTTGCGTAGGCAACTTACGGTGACGAGAAATCTTCATTATTTGAATTCTTTAAATCTTGATGAGAGTAGTTTAATTGGATGTATGGTCCTTCATACTTTAATTCCTCGTATTTCTGATCATTTTGGAACTCATTGAAATCATTATATGGAATACAAATTGGTTTTATATAATCATTAAAGTACAATAATTCTGGATGTGTATTAATCTGAAACATTGCTGTTAAATTTGTTTGTATATTTTTATTGAACATCATGCTTTTATTGATAATATTCATATTATTAGAAAACTGATCGGCGTATTTGCAATGTTTTAGTTGCGAACGTACAATGTTATCATTACTATTAGCGGAAAAATGTATATTATTATTGTTATTATTATTATTATTATTAGATGGATAGTTCAATCTACTTTTCATATTCATTGCGCGAAATTCAGCCAAAAGTTTTGATAACATAAGATTAAGGGGTTGAAGCTCATTCTCTATTCGTAAAATAGATCGTATACTACTACTTATACGAATTTTTCGCTTTGATTCGGATTTTTGAAAAGTTGTTCTTATTAATTTGTCTTGTTGATTCGTGTAATAGTCGCTTGAAAACAAATTTATTCTCGGTGATGAATCGTTTAAAAATGAATTGGCATATTCCTTTGATTTGTAAAATGAATCGCAATTAACCTCTGTGAAATTCGTTGTAGTACTTGTCCTACATTCCATATCCTGCAAACTTGTATGATCTTGGTTTTCTATTTCATGCAGACTGGAAAGTGGCACTAAATTCTGTGATATTGATAATTCCGATACAGTATTTGTAATATTTTTATTAATTGAATTTGAAGAACCTTCGATATTAAAATCTATATTATATATAGGTAGGCAATCCAAATTTTCGGAAATTTGATGATTCTCAGCATCGTTCTCGATGACGCTTGAATTTGGTTCTGACGTCTTCTTAGTTACTTCGATAATATCGTTCATCAAATTTGAAATAACTGCATTATGTCGAGGCAAATAAGTGTCGCTTTTTATTGATAAAACGTATCTGTTTGACTCTAACGACACGATGGAATCTTTAGATCGGTCAAATAGAACTGAATTCGATTGACTCGATATGACGTAATTACAATTTGTTGTATAAAAAATATTCGACGAGCATTGAGAAGTATGAGAGCTTTCTTTAACAGTGACTCGTGGACTATGAAATTCGCTAGACGTTTCATAATCATCATCAGACGATGCATACATGGACGACGCAGTCATCATGGTTGACGATCCTAGACTTGCTTCTGAAATGCTGCAGTTTACTTTTGAACTAAAAACACTCATTTTTTTTATGTTATTCCTAAATTTAATAATAATTTTAATTGATGTTATTCTCTTAGCCAATATTACCGAAAGTTTGTCAATAGAAATTTAGTGTGATTCTAATTTTATTAATCAGAACGTATATTAATATAGGAAAATATAAGGTTATATATGAACAAGAAAAAAGTGGATTCATAATTTATCATTGTGAATATGGTTGTGTATTGAGTGACAAATGACTTATTTATAATTAAATTAAAGCTAATGAAAGCTAAAATACAAAGATAGACGTGAAATTAAAAAACAATAGTATATTAAATCGAATAGATCTACCCATCTACAATGGATTAATGTTATTTAAAATACAAGTTTTTAAAATTTATTGTTTATTATACTTTTATATGAAAGTATTTTGTATGTTGTTCCTTCCTTTTGCTATTCCATTAATTATAATTGTAATTATATTAATCTTATGTTACGTTGAAACTTTTCAACGATCACATTGATTATTAATTTTTAACTTTAATCACCATTTATTGCTATAACATCATTGACATTTATATTAATCGATCAAAATCATTACCGAGGTATTTCTACCTCGTCCTTATCACATCTCGTGAAATTCTTATTAGAAACATTTATTTTCATAATTGGATCAGATAAAATATTATCTCTAGAAATTTCCAATTATGCGTCACAGTTTTTATATTTTTAGTTCAATTCAATTCAACCACATCGGCATTTGTTATTACTAATCCTTTCCACGGTTTATATATATTTCATCGGACGATTCCTTTTCTTACTAATTTATGATTTACATTTATTTAAACCTTAAATTATTTATTATATAATAATTATTTAAAATTCATATTATGAAATTGCTAATTAAAGATTATCAATTATAAAGATATTCAATTAAGAGTTGAAAACATTAAAGGTAAAATATATCTGAATCCAAAAGAATATTGTTTATGAATGTATATATATATATATATATATATATATGTAAATATATATAAATAAATATATACTGATTATATAGGTAACAAAGATGCAAAAAATAATATATCATGACATTGTATTAATTTCAATAAAATTTTAATTATTTTTAGCTGACTTATCTAGAAAACTGTGGATCAGGGCAACGTCTGGGCATTTTTACTTTTTTCAACAAATCTTTATATTTTATAGTAATATCTCATCTAAGATGTTCAAAATTTGATTTACACTTTCAATGTTCACGTACAGTGATCTACATTATCTATGAATACTTTAATCTGATTTCTAATATATCAATTCCTTCAACATTTTTCTAATAATATAATTGGAAATTGATGCTGTTTTTATATGAATTATTCAATGTTATTATTTTAGAAATTTTATTTTGTGAAGTTTAATCTAACATTGGACTTGTTAAATTGATAACTTACTATAATTAATATATGTCGTTTGTTTCTTTAAATAATATATTAATATAATAATTCATGTCATAGAATTAGTAGCATAAGCAAAAATTATTAGACAGTTGATTTTAATACGAGTATGACGAATACTATTTAATAATCAAAAGAATGCAATTAAATAAATAAATCAAATTCAATGAATGTAAATATTTAATACGTATGTGATATTAATTAATATCTAAATTATACAATTATGTCGACTTATCTTAGAAAATGGAAGTAATAACTACAATTAATACTAAACACCTTATTGTCTCGTTGGACTTTACGAAAGTCTCCTGTTTATCGATGTTTTCTAATGGAAACTTTAGTGACTTATTTCACTTATTTCGAAACCCAATTCACCACCCAATCGTTTAAAATAATTTAAATGCATTGTATGTTATTATCGTTATTGGTTAAAGTAAAGAGAGGAAACATTGCGTGACAATATGACACGCTCTAAATTTGAATAATCGCTATTTATTACATTGTAATCAGATTGTAAAATATTCTTTTATACAATTAAAAATACATTATATTAATTTACTTTAACAATATCATGAAATATTCTACGATACAAATTATGTATATTATTTTTATTTTGTAAGATATTTCTGAAATACAGTATAAATATTCTTTTAATTAACTGTGCTAAGTCTATTATAATAACATTTAATTCGCACGCACATTTATTCTAGTTATATCGCGGTAATCCTGTGTTGAGTAGATTTGAAACACAACGATTTTAATTAACTATAATATACATATACCGAACGCGCAAATGCCCACGTATATTAATATAAGATATCATAATAATAAATAACATCATTATTCTGTTAAGCATAAAGATTTAATTTTGAATGTTCCAATCTCGAATAAAAATGTTAATATGCTAAAGGAATATCCAAGTATTAATACATAAATAGAGTATCTTAGTCGCTCCATCGATAGTCCCATAACTTTGGTAACGCCTGTTCTTTTGTAATATAGCCTATCTAAATCATTTATATACCAAATTATGCCATGTTCAAATAGTCTGCTATAAATTTTTTCAACGCGATTGTGCAATGGCGTCTCATCTCTCATTATCAATACATCATTTCTATCATAATCTTTATCGTACAGAATGTCCACTTCTTCAGACTGTTGCATGACGTATTTGATTAAAGTGCAATCTTCTATGCAAGCAATCATATTGTTTGTCTTCATTAATCGTAAGCACTCTAATAGATTATCAAAAAAGTGATTTTTGCTTGGGAAAGGAAAGTGACGATAAGCTTCTTCAATGACAGAATTGATACGAATGTCATAGCCCATATTTAATAAATCGTAAATATCCGTTTCAGGATCTCTGTAGGACGTGTCCGTTGCCAGCATAGCACTCAATTGCGACTGGAGAAAAGAATTTAATATCATAAACGCGAAAATAAACCATATGATAATCTTGCCAAATGTAGCTCGTGGTTTATAAATCATGGAAACGCCAATGAATGCTCGAATGACATCCATGACAATCGTTGAAAAACTTCTTTTTAAAAGATATGAAAATATCACGCTTATCATAATGAAAACGATTAGTAGCGTTAATTGTATTCTCACGGGAAATACTTTCATTAATTGCTCGCTAATTGACAAATGGACCTTTTTAATGATAAAACACAAGCCTGAGCGCAGAAATGTATTCACTTCGAGCTTCCAGAGACCACGCTGGTAATCTTCAGATCCCAGAGCTTCGAATTTACCATGTAAGACATCGCCAATAATACCTGATGCAATTCCATCGCCGTCTATTTCGCCAAAATCCTCCTCTAAGAAATATTCGACACTGTACATACGAGCATTTAACTTTTTCCAAATTATGCTCATATACTGCCGACCAGTTTTGTAAGCTTCTACTTTAACGAACTTCCCAGTCGACTCGTCTATAGTTGAATCGTAGGTGAGATTAGATAGAGCAACTCTCACCGGGTATTCAGAAAGGTCTTGAGTTTTATCGAACCAAATTTCTTGGCACATTAAAGACCTATCTTGATGATCAATAATACGCTCGTCATTAAATTAGTTTAATATTTGGGCTTCGTGGTAATTTACTTTTCAGCTATTGCAATTAATATTACGTGAGTGATTATGGTAAAAAAAAAAAAAAAAAAAAAAAAAAAAAAAAAAAACAATAATATGGGAGTTCGTATGATATATCGACAAAGTGATGTTGTTTACCTGGGAATAATATTCACGGTAACTATACAATTTTTCTAATTAACTACGAAACAGCAATACAAACATGATTATTAAAAATTTCAATTATATTACATTTAGCATTATCAGTGTTTGGCAATTATAACAAAAATGCAATATAAAGTTAACGCAACGAATAATAATAAAATTTCAATGCTTATCAATTCATTATCTTCATTAGTATTTATATATTGATTATAATATCCGTAGAGTAATTATATATTTAAGTCAGTCGCAAGTATTTTACATATACAATGTCTGATATATGATACGATATCTGAATCAGATTGTTGAATATGAAAATATAAATGATTTTTCATGCGTTATTCTTATATTTTAATATGAAAAGTTAATGTTCTGGAAGGAATTGTAAATTATAACGGTGATAACTTACCAACTTCTTGTTCTGCATTAACAAACAACGTAAATAATTCTCCATTTTTTTCCACATAAGTAGCATTCTTAATCCAAAATTTCGAAGCACTTTTTGAGTATGGATTATGTGTATACAATTTAAGTCCAAATTTTAAATCACGACATAAATATACAGCGGATAAAATATTAAATCTCCAAGTAATTTGCAAAAATATATAAGCATTCTGACAACTATCCAATACATTGATATTTTTTATGAGAAGAAATCCTTGGATATTCCAGAATATAGAATTCTTTAATTTATATAAGACTAGCTTAAAGGTGTTGATATTGAGTTCATCGGCGATAATTAATTTTGCTGGAAATGGTTTTATTGGCAAAGTAGTTTCGTTTGTATATATTAAATAACGCTTTCCAAATTATCTGTTTTCTCAATACCAAATAAAACTATGGGTTTTAAATTCTTCATTCGAAAGTAGTCGTGTATAATATGGTTAGTCCAGTTTATAATATGTATACGTGTGTTAGTGGGATCAGGAAAACACTCGTCGAACAAAGCTAACTGTAAATAAGAAATAGGGTACTTCTTTTTTTCTTTTTCTTTTTTTGTAATGAAATTTTCATTAAATGATCTAAAGAATTATATTAAAATTGTGACTTGATCAAATAGATGCTTTTTCTTTATTCCGCTATAATTATTGAAAATTTAAACGTGTTTAAAATAATTGTAAGACAACGTAATGACGAATTCAGAAATTTTTTTATAATAGGACGTTTTGTTTAAATAAGAGCCTTAAAAATATAATAATTTGTGTTTATAATAATAAATATTTGTGCGATAGTGTTTGAAATTATTACGTTTTATACAGAATATAATATAAAGTAAAACTTAATAAAAAAAAATTAATTGATATTTTGAAATTATTGTATTACGATAATAGTTGTACCTAAAACATATGAATTTTATGTAACAATAAATGTATATTGGAATGAAAAATTTTAAAAACTGGTTGGACACATTACTTGTACCAATATAACTTAAATTGCATCGACATCATTCATATAAAAATTACTAAATACAACAATATAGGATTATATGTAACATTATTACCCATATAGTTTGAATCATATTATAATTGCAAACTTTCGCTAGCCCTTATAAAGTTTAAGAATAAAAAAATATTTCCCATGAAAGTATTAAAATTCTAGAAGTATCTTAATAAATGCTTATGCAGCTATAGACGTCATGATAAATAATAATAATGATAATAATATTGATAATAACCTTAAACTCTTCTGATTGTATGTTAATCATTTTTGCATCAATCGACTGCTGCAAAGTTAAATTATAAAAACTAAGAGATATAATTGTATATACGATTGAGCGCATTATGGGAATGATGATTATATTTTCAATTTTATAGACAAGCCCGAGTTATAATTTGATAATATATTTTATAATAAATTATTTACGTTGTTCATAAAACTCTTGTTTATTTTTGTTTATTTTATTTTACTGTAATAAACGTTTCTCACAATCGTCTACATTACAGGGTTTGTAAAATTATTTCTATCGATCCCTTTAAATGCTCTTGACAACAAGTAAAAGTTTTTGTTGTAAACCGAAATTCATATTGCCCAACAGATTCTAGAAAGATACTAACGATTTACGTTCATTTGCAACTCATATCCTATAATCGTCTAGATAATATTATCTATGAACAAAAAATGTGAAAACATATTGTTTAGAAAAAGCATAAAAATTAAATATTATAGTTTTCATTAGTCTTTATGATAGTTAATATATTCTACAAGACATGCCGAGTAAAACATTATTTAGTCTTTCTAATCCACTAAGTAAATTGAAACATTAAACATATATTTATAAAAATGATTGTCCCGACATATTAAATAATAATTAATTGATTATACATTTTGTAAGCACGGGAATAGATATTTTTATCTTCATTAAAAAGTTGCTAAAATTTTTTTTAATTATAATCATTCGTTATTTTAAATTGCATATTATACTTTTAAATGTTTGATACGATCATATAAAACTAAGTCAATAATATTATGTTAATGTGTTAAGAAGAACAGTTAGTATTATGCGCCAATATTGATCAGAACCTTATAAAAGAAAAGTAGAAAATCTTACTGGATAAATTAAATCGAATAATGCCTCGATCGTTTATTTTTTCTAAATATTACGTTTCTTCAGTAAGCATTATTTATTTTTCAATACTTACCGTTATTTCACATATACTCGACGATACCTTTTCTTATATATATACTTTTAACTATAGTCGCAACATTGCTTCATTTATAAAAGTGTATTCTACTCATCGTGCCTTTAATAGCATAAATTTTTCAATTAAATATGAAATTTAAAAATCGTGAAAAAATATTTAAGTTGTATTGCAATAACATATTTGTCGTACTTTCTTAATGTTCATTGATCGTTATATAACTATGAGCTCGGTCAAATATATAGAATATATTCTTTGTTTTTTCACTGCTAAATTGGAAATTATAAAAGCATAGATAATGATAAAAACAATGTGTAATAAACTTATCAAAAATTATTACTACGATAGCAAAAACTGCTTGTTGTAATGAAAGTATCACAGCGCATGTCTTGTCTGCAAGTATCGCCGGCCGATAATTAAAAAATAGAGTCCAGATTAAAATAGAAAGTCATCGATAGAACTCGATAGGCACTATGCTCATAGTCTTATTACTAACGGCATTAAAACAAAACCACAAATTCGTTCCGCTATTCTTTTCTTTCTTCATACCTTATGAAATTCGTCATTCAAAGTTCTCTAAATTGCCAGTGTTATAAATTCAAAATTTTTTTTTAACGAAATTCCACTACGAACTGTAATAATAAAAAATTGTGCGCAAAGCAGCAGATAAAGTAGTGCCTCATTTGGCAAATAGGCAAAAATTCTTCGCCAATTAACCGTGTCCGCTTTCGAATTTTGCGCCCAAATCAGCGCCCTCTAACGAACGAGCATCGAAAACCAATTCAAAAGCCGCTGGATCATAGGATCAGCGGACTTAATTAATTCATTAAAGATCGGCAGCGTCAATCTCGGTAGTTACGAACTCACGTCAAAAGAGACTTTGTCACTCGTTGTTGCAGCCTCAAGCTCCTCCCGACCGTTTTCTCATTTCTTGCCCACCTCCGCACAACAATAACACATCGCGCTCACGTGCGCTCGCACTCGTTCAAATGTTAAATGGCATCACCGAAGAAGCGAGAGAACGAAAGAAGGCAAAATGCCCCGAGTGCGCTATGCTTCCGAGTCTACCCTTTATTTATAAAATACAAGCAAACGGCGTTGCGCGTACGCGCGTCAGCTCAAATGCGCACGCACATACGCATCGGCCATGTAGGCATACACACGTGAAGAATTAAATGGGAGCGAGGGAGATGCAGGCGACGGAGGTGGTGACGGCGGTGACGGCGGTGACGGCGGTGGCGGTGGCGGTGGCGGTGGCGGTGGCGACGGTGTCAGCACACACGCGCGCAGCTAACACGTACACGTCTCTCCGTCTCTCTCGTGCTTGCATAAAAAGGAGCGGAGACAAAGTCGGGGAAGAGCGACGGCCTTTCCAGCAGAGTGAGGCGGACAGTTGCCGAAAAAGAAGGAGAAGGCCGAGAGAGAGAGAGAGAGAAAGACAGGCGCGTGCTCGCCCACATCTCTAGGCACAGTCGGAGAGAGGCTCGCAATCGTTGCTGCCTCGTTTCGACGTTGCGCGTCGCAAGTTTTCCGTGTGTGTCTGCTCCTCGACTCTACCTATCTATCTATCTATCTATCTATCTATCTCTCTCTCTCTCTTTCTCTCTCACTCTATCAATCTATCTATCTATCTTTCTTTCGCTCGTTCGCTCTCTGTCTCTCTCGCTCTCTCCCTCCCTCCGTCACCTTCCATCTCCCTCCCTCTTGCTAGCTCGCTCTTGCGTGCAGACGCACCGCGCGTATACGAAGTACGAACTCTCACGACTGGCACACGAAAAAGCGCGGAGGACATCTTGAATCGCGTAGTGGAACGACGTTTTAGACGGCAGCCATCTTGCGATCCCTAATCAAAGATCTCCTCTCTTGTCTGTGTGCTGTGCGGGCCAAGCGGGTTTTTACGTTTCCTCTGGTGTTCCAGGCAAAGGCCGGATTCCCAATTACCACACAACACAGACCGTCAAATGGCTTTGAAGCGGATCAACAAGGTAGGTCTTAGCGGCAGATACTCTGACCCTATATCTCCGTTCGCTCGCGTCTCCTCCTATCCTATCAATCGTTACACTAACTCGTGTCACCGTCGGTGAGGTCCCGGCGACCTCCACGTCCCTCGTGCCGATGGGCTTGCTCGACCTCGGCCGGAGTTGCCGGATCCGGATGCCGCCGGGGGCTATTAGTCCGAGCATCTACATGGCTCCGGGTTTGACTCGAGATCTCGGTCGGGGTAGCGGCGCCAGCGATTGTGGCAAGGCTACGATTACGGTTATGGCTTTGAGGAGGACAACGACGACCACGACGACGACGACCACGACGACGACATATATATTGACCACGGCGGCGGTAGCGGCAGCGGCAGCGGCAGCGGCGGCAGCGGCGGCAACAACGACAACGACAACGACGACCACGACGATCACAACGATCACAACGACGAAGACGACGGCGATAACGAAGATGACGACGACGACGACGGCGGCGCCCGCGGCAGTAGACGAAAATGAACGACAACGACTACGACTATTTTTTAACGTGTAATGATAGGTTCCCGGCCAACGGGTAGCACTGGATTATCGTGAACTATCGTTTGCATCAGCCTCGGCTCGCTCGGCCTTTCTTTACCCGCGACTGGGACTATGCGGGAGGCACAGTTTATGCATGAGTTTGCGGCCTCGAGAGGAGCAAGAGAAGAAGGAAGGGACTTGCCGCAATCGTGATGCGACTCCTGGTGCTCGAGAATCGCCGACAGCTCTCTCACGTGCTCGAATCGCTCGGGGTGGCCAGTGGCGCCTTCCTCTCGGGTAGTTAGATCTGGCTGAATGCCGGAAGTAACGTAAAACCCTTGGGTGTCCAAGCTGCTGCTATGTAGCGCTTTTATGCTCTCTCTCTCTCTCTGTGTGCGTGCCAATGCTCGTGCACACATGCGTACACGCACGTACTTTTATATATATGTAAGAATATTTATTTGAGTACGTGCACACGAAAGCACGCATATATTATATGCGCTTATGCATGTGTGCGTGCGTGTATGTGTGCATATATATATATATATATATATATATATATATATATATATTGTGTGCATACAGGCGCACACACGCAGGTACATATAAATATATATATATACATATATATATATATATATATATATATATATATATATATATATATATAAGCGTACGCGTGCATGCGCGCGGGCGTGTGTGCGCGCGCAAGCATATGCATGTGTGCACACGAGCAGACACAATACATGTAGAATGCACTTACACGGACAACACTAGCGACGAGAGCTATAGATAACTCAGAAATCATTGAAATTCTTACTATATAATGCGCCTGGTTATGTATCTTTACTATTTAAAAAGCTTATAATGGTTGTAAATTTGGAAGAAATATCTTTGATCCGTAGCAAGAGCAAACAATGTTAATGATGACGGTGACTGTTGGGTATTCAGTGAACTCGATTATGAGTCATTCGTGTCATTGCTTCCCTTTTTCAAAGGCTAAAGCATAAATTTATTGTATTCTTTTTATGAATAAAATAGTATCCCTCGATTCTCATTATCTTTTATATAGCTGGCGTAGAGCATAATTAGATATTTATTACTAAAAAGTATTATTAACTTGCAAGTATTAATAACTGTATACATTGTGGATACACTTGTGATGGTTGTAATGAATTGCTTGTTTATTAATTGGCGATATTTTGCATTTTGATAGGAACTTCAGGACCTTGGAAGGGATCCACCCGCACAGTGCTCAGCTGGCCCAGTTGGAGATGACTGTAAGTTTCTCGTCATTGAATCACTGACTTGCTCCTACTTGATACACGATAATACATTTTCTGCGCATTGCAAAAATTAATCCAAAAAATATTTTTCACTTGATATACGAATTTAAGAATTTCTTTGCAAAGATTCCTTTGTACAAAATTACAAAGCGTATATTATAGAGTTACCAAATTGATATAATTGGTATATTAGAGTAGAAGTTTGTTAAAAGTAGAAGAAAAGTTTTAATATTTTTGGTACTACCATTTGCTAAATACGAGTGTCTAAGTAGTACGATACAGTTTTTTAATATTAATCGAGTAATAAAAACTATGGTGATTTTCCACTTTAACTAGCATATGTAATATAGAATGTGCTAATATTGTGCAACAATCTATAGAATCTAATTTAGTAATATTTGTTAATATGAAATAATTTGTTATAAATATTAAATTACAATTTTATTGTATGGCACTCGATAGTATTTCATTTGCATGTTAATTGAAATTTTTTTAAGGTTTAGTCTGTGATAGATCTTCTTTTATTTTTTATTGGTTAAAATGAAATTAACATCTCTTAAATTTTTGTTTCTGGTAATCCACTTATCAAAGTTTTATGATTGTTATTTTAAGGAATTTTATACTTTCATATGGAATAATATTATCATTATAATTTGTTCTTTAATTGAAACTTATTTGGTGATAGTTTAAGGTTTGAATTGACAGAGTGAAATTATAATTTGTATAATAATTATAGATTTCATAATTAAAGAAGATAATAAATATTAATATTGTACATTATCCATATATTCTATAATTAAAATAAAATTTATCATGATTTACACTATTCAATTTTATTTAGTATTGAATATTTAATATTGAGTATTTGCAATTTTTAATACATATTAATAAAAATGTTATTTGATATATTTTTATAATATATTTATATATACATATATATATATATGTATTCAATAAAAATATTTATTTAATATCTTGCAGTATTTCACTGGCAGGCAACAATTATGGGTCCAGTAAGTTCTTCAATATTTAAAAATCTATTTTTTCTTTTTTTCAACTATTAATTTTATTTCCATGAAACATTACAGCCTGACAGTCCTTACCAAGGAGGAGTTTTCTTCTTAACAATACATTTTCCTACAGATTATCCATTTAAACCTCCAAAGGTATTTTAAAATAATGAAATTTTTAAAAATTGTTGGTTTAATGGATAATTCAGCTAATAATTATATGAATATTTTATAGGTTGCTTTCACGACCAGAATTTATCATCCTAATATTAACAGTAATGGAAGCATTTGCTTGGATATTTTAAGATCGCAATGGTCTCCAGCACTCACTATATCTAAAGGTATGTGTATTTATCTAAATCACTATATCTAAAGGTATGTGTATCTGTTGTATATAATAATAATTATCAATTATTCAGAATAATAATTTCAATTATCATGTGACTTAAAAAAGAATAGACGAGTATTTTTACATGTACAAACTACCAGTTAATCTATATAATTACATTATCTATTTTGAATTGACTTTATTACTAGAAAAATCATAGAATTCTAATACGTCTGTATAGTTTGGTTGTCAGTTTTAAATTTTCAATATGTATTTTTAGAATCAATATACTATTTCTTAATATAATATCCTGAAACTGTGCACATAAATATTAATATAATAATAACAATGAATTTTAATTTCTAGCGTATTTTATCGATTCTTATTAAATTTAACTTATTATTTCTCTTAATTCCAAAGTACTTCTTTGTTTTAGAAATAAATTTGAATAATTTATAAAAATTAAGTTTTTATGACTAAAGGAATTAAATATTAATTATTAAAAAAAACTATTGATTTAATATAAATTTAAGTCATGATAATATACATAATTTTTAATCAAGATTTATCATTACTGATGTAAGAAAATTGAAATATACAGAGAGAGAGAGAGAGAGAGAGAGAGAGAGAGAGAGACAGGAGATTTATGTAAATCGCCCTCTTTTGTATCTTATCTTAAAATTACAATTAAATTCAATTCCTATGATTATGGCAATGAAATAGATTTGATTTTTGGTGTCGTAAATTTTTTATATAAATTTTTGAAGAAGTATTAAATATAAATTATACATAAAGTTTAAAGAGAAAAATATTGATTGTCGTATTATTGATAGTATAGTAATACTATCAATTCAAAGTAAAATATTTTGCTTTAGTGTATCGATTAAAACATTTCATAAGTTGTATTTAAATGTGAAAGTAGAAAGTTGCGTAAATAAATTATAAAATGTTTATATTTTTAAAGAGCAAGGACTCCTAGAATAATACTGGTGTTAAAATTTGACTAATTACATTGCGTACAAAGTAGTTAATTTTTACATTGATAACATTAACATTAATAGTGTAAATTTAAATTATAATTAAATGAATATTCCATTTTTGTTTCAGTGTTATTATCAATATGCTCTCTGCTTTGCGATCCAAATCCAGATGATCCACTAGTGCCGGAGATAGCTAGGATATACAAAACGGACAGAGAGAAATACAACGAATTGGCACGTGAATGGACGCGCAAGTATGCCATGTGATCCGCCAATAACCGTTAACCTCAACATCTGTATACCACCATCAAACAGTCCCAGCCTAAATGCCATTTATCAATCAGCACCGATTCAACCTAGCTATGGCTCGTCTGTCCTTTAAGTAAAATAATGAACATCACGTCGTCTAATTCAGACTTCCGGGCTCCGCAGGGCACCGCAGGCCAGCTGTGATCGTTCCATAGTAAGAAGTTCCCTCCTCCCTGGGTACCCTGCGAATTTCCATGTCGGTGCCATGATGGCAACTAAAAGGCGTTTTAGAAAGGATCAAGGATAAGGTGGTTCATCCTTCAAATAATTAAAAAAAAGAATAAATTTGTAATCTATGGATCGAGAAAACAACAGAAACAGGAATGAGACACAAAAAACCAACATTGTTCGCTTTGATTTTCGCAGAAATAAACGAGAATTTTTAACTGGAAAATAATAAGACAACATAGGCGAGTGAAAGTAGGATTTGTATTTGAATTTAATAGTCTAATTTCTATGATCGTACTTATATTGCTGTAATATCTTTGCATATATGTCTACTTTCTCAGTGGAAAAAAAGAAAACAGAAAAACGTTATACGCGAACGTACGTAAATAAGGAATATGAAAGAATATTGTGCAAAGTAACTTCAAAATGGCAGCGCACCGATTGTTAGTTTTAAATGCAATGAGCGATCCACACGCCCGTCCCTCGATACGATGCGGTCATTTTTTTGTAAGACTGGGCTCTATATATATATATAAACTTCTGAAAACGATAATGATCTTGTTTTTTCTTTACTCATCGAATATTAATTCGATTGATTCCTTTACGTTAATCTTGTTTTAAATAATCGTAAAATCTTATCTTAAACACAAATTCTACGAGTAACTCGATCGTCGCGTCTGGTGGCTCGGTTCGTCGGTGTATTATGTGCGCGCGTGCGTGGGCGTAAACAAAACTAAAACAAACAATGCAAACTGAATAATCAGTTCAACTGTAATATTTCAATAATATGTACTACATTTACAATTGCATGAAAGGAGAAAAAAAAGTAGCATTCTAAATCGAGCTCTGATCTTGAAGATGGTAGAGGGTGGGCAAATATAACATTCGTAGCATGAGATTATAGGGGCCTGAGTTACGACGAGTACTGTTCGAAAGAAGAATTCTTAAAGTGATCTGTACTTTCGATAATGTACCTGTGTATTCTCACGTACTCTATTACGATAAATACTGTACAATTCGCTGAGACTTTTAAGTACTATCGTGCGCGCGCGCGCGCGCGCGACAGAGAGATTGCGAGTGAGATGGCATGGACAGGTGGTGAGGTGGAGATTAAGTGTAGAGGAGAGGTGAGGAGAGGTGAGGTGAGGAGTGGAGAGGAGTCGAGAGGAGTCGAGAGGAGTCGAGAGGAGTCGAGAGGAGTCGAGTGGAGTGGTGTGGTGTGGAGCGGAGCGGAGTGGAATGGAGAGGAGAGATAATCGAGTCTTTTAGAAGGGCTTTGGGTGTGTCAATATCCATAGTCGTAAGAATGAAATCGCGTTTGTACTTGTAATTATAAGACTCTTCGTAAGTATACTAAAAACAGAACGTTTGTCATCGTCGTACTACCAATGTTATCATGTACGCCGTGTGACTATTTAGGTGTCAGGTTTTTTCGCTGGTCGTCTGTTTCAGCATTAATTATTGCTTTCATTTTAATGCATATCGTGCGCGATCTTAGCCAAGCTTTCTACTCTTCTATTTTTTAATTTACACCATACTTAGATTTTTTACAGTTCCCATGTGATGCTAAAGAATATTCTTGTGCGAAACAAAAATATAAAAATTGTTCAGTCATATATTTGTAAATGTTAGACTAACGTAAAAGAGGAGAAAATGAAATAGTTTGTTTTTCTTTATGTGTTTTTCGCTCCGACGTAGAGAGACGACCGCGAGGGTAATAATCCAAGTATCGACGATAAGCGAGAAAAGATCATGCGTCGTTATAAGTGTTCCCAATCAATGCGAAGATTTTTACATTTAAGCAACACTTCGCATTCCAACGGCGTTCCAAATATCGCGCTACGTGATGCGAAGCTGTTCCTTTATTTTTTTTTTTTTTTTTTATTAAATTATTATTTGTGGATACGGATTAAAATGAAATAAAAACAAAGACAAGCTCTGTAGGTGGTGCTGTGAGTAGCTTCGCGATTGTCGCCATATCGAAATCGAAAATTTTCGAAGAGAAGCGCGACAATTAATGATTAAAAATAAAATTTTCTTTTTCTTTCCATCAACAATTCAGCGATAGTGCGAAAAGCCAATTGTCTCACAATGAGGGGTGGAGATGATTTATAGGAGGAACAGTGCGAGATGAATCAACGTTTTTTTTCGTAGATTGTAATCGAGTGTAGATTATACAATGTGGTCTTTTTAAGTTTTATCGTTTTTTTTCTTCCGTATCGCAGTGTGTTATTTTTAATTGAAAAATAAAGAGAAAATCTGAAAAATAAATAAGAAAGAAAGATGACATAAAAAGAAAACGGCGAGAAATCTATATTTAAGACTTTGCCCCTGATTAATGGTTCACCTCTATAAAAGGTTTTATGACCAAACAAATGAAAGGAACAAAATAGAAAAAACAATTACTCGTGTGTAATTATTACTGAAGACGCAATAATGAACATTTTTAATAACTTATCTTGTGTACATTCTAGCCTTTAGCTCTTTATATAAATAAAGTCCACATAACGATAAAGTTTAAAATTATGTGATTTTTCAAAAAAAAAAAAAAAAAAATAAATAAATAAATAAATAAATAAATAATAAAAAATAAAAAAAAAATAAGGGGGAATAAAGCGAAACTTTAATAAACCATTGGTGCACCATTGGTTGGATGTTGTCGATGCACAGCAAATGCTCATTGATTTGTGCCAAAGCAAGCAGACAATGAAGAAAGTCAATCTCAAATCTTTGTAAAAAAACACAAATACGATGGTCTGAAGGAAACAAACGCAAACAAAATATATCGAATCCGATGGAATTAACTTGGATTTTATCTATGGCCCGGTGACTATTGTACGTCATTAGTCTACGTACGTGCGATCAATTACCTGAAGGCTGAACAATGTGAAGCGACCTTGAGACTTTCAGTGCAAGCCTACAACCCTGCCAAATAAGCAAATTTATCTTCTTATTACTTTAATGCACTTCTGCAAGCCCGAGTATGTGCTTGTATTTGAAAACCATAGACACGTTGAACAATCCTCGTTACTTTGAAGTGGAATTTCATACTGCTCATTAAGTGCTTGTTAACGTAAATTATTTTATTTACATTTACGCGTTGAAATGAAAAGGATTAAAACTAAGTGTGCCGCTAACTAACTTGACAAGATTCTTAATCGAAGCAATTTTATATGATCACTTTTGATAAATGTAGATTAACTAACGGATGATGAAAGATATATATTGTACTAATAGTAATTGAGTATGGAAAGGAAAGACTTGTTTTATTCCTAAATTATTGAAAGCCATTATAATTATTTGCTTATTTATATAAAAAGTAACATCACTTTTATTCAACGATTTGTTAACGATATCAATATAAATATAAATAATATTAATACAATATTAAATATAACGATTATTTCTAGTTCTACAAAAAAAAACCTAAACTTTCAATTAATTAACTTCTGCATAGTATGTAGAATTATTTTACTATTTATCTTGTTAATTAAAGAACACAGCTTGTGTGCGCGCGCGCCCGTATGTGTGTTTCGTACGACAGTTTGGATTTAGAATTCGATATGATACGATAAACTATAAGACAGTAATATATGAAGTAAACGAAAATTTCTTATTTCATTGTCGGATACCTAGAAAACAATTCTTTTTGAATGGGTGAAAAAACGTGGCTAGTTGTACATTATTTCGCTATTTTAACGTTCACTTCAAAATAATAGGAGTTGTCGACTTTTGCAGACGAGGAATGAAGTCAACAAAATATAAACAATATGAAATTTTAACAGGCAATTGTCTCTACGAGCTGCTTTTTTGAGCTGCGCAGCTCATTTCTACTCGATCATTTGCGTAAATTAATTTAAATCAATAAATGGCGTTTGTGTGGTACGTTAAATGTTTCAGTAATTTAGAATTTAGAAAATTTACTCTATGTCGATGCGATGAGATCGATAATGGTTTTTTTTTTTATTATTGATGTTACCAGTCGCTTTATATCAAAATTGTTAAAATCAAAAGAATAAGTATTTGTAACTATAGTAACTGCTTAACTTCTATGTTACCATTATCTTGAATAATTTACAAATTGATTATTTGCAAATGATGTTAAACCATGAATAATCTTATTTATAATATTATTCGCATTTGTATTTTACTTTTTTTTTCAACTCTGCTCAACAATTAAATTGCAAAAGGTGTTATAAATTATATTAAAAATATTTCGTAATATCCAATTTTTGCTGACAAATAGTTCTGGAGAAAATAAAGGTAACAATTAATATAAATATTAAAGTGATGACGTTATGTACCTTCAGATTAGATTGAAAATATATTTAAATTACAATCGATCAACATGCGAGTTAAAATAAGTGTTTGACAGAAATTATTTGGAGTATCTAAAAAAAAAAAAAATTGATCTTATAAATACAAAGAATTCTATAATCACACAAGAACTTAAGTTTCAGAAAGTTAATGAAGATTTTAAATTATTTTATATTATAATAAATAAATATGCGCGTGACTTTTAATTAAAAGTAAATTATTTTCGTGGATAAGTTTTAATTATCTACGAATTCAATAATTCGTTTTTTACTTATGTACCTCTTCACTATAGATTTAAGATATTATAATTTTCTAAGATGCCATTGAATTGTAAAATTACATTTTACATTTAACAGTTCGTAATGTTGTCGACATTACAAAACAACAAGTGTACAGTTTTTAATTATACACATTTATTCCAAAGAAGCAAATAGACTGGTTATAGTTACTATGTATTACAATATAGTGACAGATAGTAAGTAATCGATTCATTATATTATTGATAGACATAATACTTTCATATTAATTATCGGCGAAATTTATGTTTAATAAAACAGTAATTTTTATAAAATTTCAAGTATATTTATTAATATATATATATATATATATATATATGAATAATAATATACTTCAGATTTTAAAAACCTACTGTATTTCATGTGATTAAATCCAACCTCAATTGATATATCTGAATTCCTGCAGAATTTTAATTATTAAGAATTAGTTCAATAATTACTTAAATATTTTATGTTTCATAGAAGTATATAAAAACTATATACTTTTATTTTATTAGATATTTACTATTTACTTAGATTTAATAATAATAAAAATTAAAAAAAATAAAAAAAAATTTTACGTAAATAATTAATAATTAAATTAATAAAGTAACGCAAATTACATTCGCTCAATTATAATATTCATAAATCCAAATTGATTAATAGGGTAAAAATTCATGAACTAAGAGAATTTTCAGTAATTTTAAAAGTAACGATAGGCCAACGAAGCGATGAATTCAATAAAATTATTCTTATTTTTTTTTTCATTCCAATGAAGTAATATTTCTTCAATTGTTTGAACGAGAATAGACATGGCTCTTTGTTACTATTTTGTTTAAATATGGCTTAGTATACGATCTATATTTTTCAATTATTTAAGAATACTAAAACCATTACAAGAGACAAAGCAATAGACAAATTATTACTCGATCTACCAATGTAGATCTCTATTTTACCAA